AAAAAAAAAAAAAAAAACAGGAAATCTCTCCAGAGAGCCGTTGTACCACCAACAAAACCCACAAAACCCTATGCCCACATCAGCACCAATTTCCCATTTTTATGAGTTTTTTTTTCTGAATTTCCCCTATTAAAATGTCGTATATTTGGCGGCAACTTTTGGTAGGAAAAAATTGAGAAAATACAAATCCATAACACATCCTACCATCCTTCCACGGCATGTGTATCTCACTCGCCCAAAATAATCAAGGGCCCCACCTTCCAACCAATAATCAATCCCTCTTCTATTCTTGCCCCACGAATCAGACGGTTCCCTTATCTTTTTCAGAAACGCAAAATATTTTAAGTTAAATGCCAATTTTAATCCTTAAGCTTTTAATTTTGAATTTTTTTGTCCTTAAACTATTTTTTGCACTATTTTAGTCTTAAATTATGAAATAAATCTGCATTTTTTTTTAGTTCTTCTAGTCAATCAATTCATTGAGTTTGTCTATATGTGAATATTTTTAGTTTCTAAACCTACAAGTAAGGTTTGCTTTGGGAGTTTTGGGACGTAGTTGTAGGACTTGTAACTTTAGGTTCTTTTAGTTAGTCATTTAAAATTTGAAAAAGTATATAATATATTTAGTATTTATTTCAATTAATATTTTATATATTTCCAAATAATAAAATGATATAAAAACAAAAAACTAAAGTATTGAGAAATGTTCTCGAATAAAACTTAACTAATAAAATAACAAAAAAAATGTAATTTTTATAGTTTGGGAAAAAAGTGCAAAAAAATAATTTATGGACAAAAATGTTTAAAATTAAAAATTTAAGGACTCGCCTTTAAACAATATTTTAAGCGCGTGAAAAAGCGTAAAATTAAGAAGAAGAATTAAAAAAAAAAAAAGAAGTATCTGAATTTTTGTTTCCCTTGGTTTAAACCTTATGCCCTAGTCTTCCTTCCTAATAAGCAAAGAGCAGAAGCGGAGGAGATGGAGAGAGAGATTCATTTTCGCCGTTGGGAGGAAAAATGACCTAATTTCCTCCGGAAATCTATCGCCGGAATCGATTTCTCCGGTGGTTTTCCTTCGTCGCTTCTCGTCCTTCTCAGCTTCTTACTCCGACGGAGGGACGAGCTGGTGAGTTGCTGCTCCTTTGATCGTTTTCTTTCTCCTTTCGTCAAATATCATTGCTTAATTGAACGCTCGACTGGACGAGCAGCAAGATCGATCATGACCTATTTTCCCAATCCGATAAGGTACTGCATATCTATACATTGATAGGAATATAGGTAGAAATTGATACCTCCAGATTTTTGTAGCTGTATATAGAGAGAGATATAGTTGTGGTTCTTGTCATGCAATTGTCATCGGGTTCGGCTTCTTCATCGAAACGGAGGGATTTTCAACAGAAGCCGGGTTCTCGGATTAAAAAGAAGCATAAGAGGCTTGATGCGATATGTGAGGAGGAGTATACCAGGAACCATGCTGAATCAAATGAGGGAGATGGGGGTTCTGGGTCCAAGGATGCTGATGTGGAGCTTCGCAGGAGCTCTCGCGTGCGGAGAGCACCGGTGGTGCTGGATGTCTCGCCTCCACCTGTTAAGAAAAGGCGGAAGATTGGTAAGGATGGAAAGCAGGGCTTGAATAAGAGCGGGAAGAGTGGTTTGGCTAATGTGAAAGAGGAGGAGAGTGGTGAAGCAGCGGATTTGGAGACACCTGGAAGTTGGAGATCTAGGTTGAGGTCTAGAGGGAGGAAATTGGGTGTTGGAGTGAAGAAGGTGGAGGAGAAGGGTTCATCAAGTAGGAGGGAGCTTTTTGAGGAAACTTGCGAGCCTAGGGAGGAAGAGAAGCCTATGGTCAGTGAACTGGATGGTGGAAAAATGATGGTTGTGAGGTCAAAGAGGCCAGGGAGGGTTAAGGCAACAATTGGTTTGAGAGATAGAGAGGAGGTGGACCTGTGTGGGATGAAAGAAGAGAGGGAGGCAGAACAATTGGAGGTTAGAGAAAATCTGGCTGAGGAGGATGCAACAGATGTGGATAGAGAAGTAGATGGTGCACCTGTCAGAGAGGTGGTGGATAATCTGGTTGAGGGCTCACCTGTGGTGGATGGGGAAACAGATGGTGCGAATGAAATGGACGCTGTGGAGAATCTGGTTGTAGAAGAAGGTGCTCCAGTTGTTGATGGCAAAATTCTTGGTGGAAATGAGAGAGAAATGGTTGATTGTAATGCTCTTGTGGTGGATAAGGGAGAGGAGAGAGTAGTGAATGGTATGCAGTCTGAGGACAACAATGTTTCAACAGAAGAAATGGAAAGAGACGAGCAGCTTAATGCACAAACACTGCAGGAGTGTCAGAATGAAGGAACAAATCAGGAGGACACTGTCATCCCAGATGAAGTGGAGTTAGGCAGTTATGATGCCAAAGATGATGGATTGGTTCAGGTTGATGATAAACCTTTGGAAGGTGAGAATGCGATGATGGTAGATAATTCAAATGAAGCTGCTGCTGGTACACTGGAAAAGACACGAATTAAACAGGGGAGGCGGTGTGGTTTATGTGGGGGTGGGACTGATGGGAAACCTCCAAAGAAGTTGTTACAGGATACTGGTGAGAGTGAAAATGAGGCATATAGCTCTTCAGCTTCAGAAGAGCCAAACTATGATAAATGGGATGGATTTGATAATGAACCGGGATGGCTTGGTCGTCACCTGGGTCCTGTCAATGACCGTTACGGTATTGCTAGAATTTGGGTTCATCAAAATTGTGCAGTGTGGAGTCCAGAGGTTTGGACCTTTTCTTCTCTTTCTTTCTGTTCCCTTTCCTGTTCCCAACAAAAGAAAAGTTGATTTTGATTGTTGGTTATTATCTTCCTGATCAGCTTAGGTGGTTTAGAAACATTATTTTTAGTATCTTATAGTCTCACTGCTTGTCCCAGTTATTTGACATGGTACTGAGTTGTGACATACATCTTTATTTATGCAAAAAGGGAATTCCTTGGCCCTTCCTCGCAATATTTAATGCTTAGAAATTAACTAAATAGCAATTAAAATAAAACCAAGATATTTCTCTCCTAGAGAATTATAAGAATATTGCTTAGTTTGCTGTAATCTAATCTATTAAGTTTCTAAATTAACCAAGCATCAGATAAAGAGCATTCGCCTAAATTTCTGTTACTTTTAAACTTATATTTCTTGACATCTTGTTATTTTTCTGAGTGAAACTGAATACCATATCCTTTTCTGGTGAGACAGGGTAGTAAATTGAGACAAACATGTCTATTGGTGTTTGTAGTAACATTTGTAGAATTATTACTTGAACTACATAAAAATTTCTAGACAAGTTTGTGGACAAGTGGTGCATGGGTTAAATCCATTTTGAGTTTCATTTTGTAGTGGTTGAGGTTTTAGGGTTACAGTGTTTAAGGAGGCCCATATACTGTTGTGATGTAGGATCTTCTTTTATAAAGTTAAGTAGATATCTCAAAAATCTGATTTAACTTTCTAGAACCTTCATGCACCAAAATGCTTGAAATTTCTTTAACAATGTTTCATGTTGTAGAAAAGGCTAATATTTTAATTAATTATACCACTTCTCTTCTTGAGTTCTTATCAGCTAAATACTTAAAGACAAAGATCCTACCTTGCTTCAGTATCTAAAATTCATTGAATAGATTTGACCAGATTGGCTCCACCATAACATACTTAGTTGAACTTTTGGCATAGCTCGCATGCACACAAAACCTTGTGAGAAATAAGAAGAGATGGTGGGGGATGTATATATGTTCTGCCATCACTATGTCGTGCACATATCATGTTCTTTGTATTTGGGATTATAAGTTTCTTATGTAATTTTGGAATCTTGATTTTACAGTTATTTATGGCTTTTGGTTTAAACATTAACAATGTTATAGGATAAAAAACTTTTTTATTATTATTATTATTATTATTATTAAGTAAAGCTCAATATCAGTTTTCTAGTTCTTTTAGATTAGTAAGGCTCAACACCATGCCATTTCTAACCATGGCTTGTGATGGAATATATTTGGAAGTAGGAAATATTCTTTACTAGTTGACTACTTCTCAACAAATTTGACTTTTAAGATGCCAAATATGCTTTGATTTTCACCCTTTAACAACTTTCTGTTTTCTGTAGGTCAAGTATCATGTTTAATTTATCTTCACCATAATTTTATGTAGTTGATACATGTAATTGTGGAAGCTCTCGATCCACGGCATCCAAAACTTTTGCCTTTCAATCTTCTTCATTTTGCAGGATACTTCAAATAACAATGTTCATTTCTGCAGGTTTATTTTGCTGGGTTGGGTTGCTTAAAAAATATAAGAGCTGCACTTTGCAGAGGGAGAGCATTAAAATGCAGCCGCTGTGGGAGGCCTGGAGCAACAATTGGTTGCCGAGTTGATCGTTGTCCAAAAACATATCACTTGGTCAGTTTTTTTTTATTTTTTATTTTTTATTTTCTTCAAATTTTATTTCTTTTGTCCTAAGAAATCTCTTTTAGATCCTAGTTGCTATGTTTCCCCTGTGAGCTTTTATTTGAGAAGAAGACAGACAATTCGTGCTTTTCTGATTGGGCAATTTTATTTTTGCAGCCATGTGCACGAGATAAAGGTTGCATATTTGATCACCGCAAATTTCTCATAGCCTGCACTGATCATCGGTATCTCTTCCAACCTCAGGGGAATCAATATCTAAACCAAATAAGGAAAATGAAGGCTAGAAAAATGAGATTTGAAATGAGGAAGGTATCAAATGATGCATGGAGAAGGGATGTTGAAGCTGAAGAAAAATGGTTGGAGCACTGTGGTGAGGATGAGGAGTTCTTGAAACGTGAAAGAAAGAGACTTCATCGAGATATGTTAAGAATAGCACCTACTTATATTGGAGGTTCAGACACCGAGAATGCTAGATTATTTGAGGGTTGGGAATCAGTTGCTGGACTGCAGGATGTTGTCCGATGTCTGAAGGAAGTTGTCATTTTACCACTGCTGTATCCTGAGTTCTTCAATAATATGGGGCTTACACCACCTCGTGGTGTTCTTTTGCATGGGTATCCTGGAACAGGTAAAACTCTTGTTGTGCGTGCACTCATAGGCTCATGTGCTCGTGGTGATAAGCGGATAGCATATTTTGCCCGCAAGGGAGCAGATTGCTTGGGGAAATATGTTGGTGATGCCGAGCGGCAGCTAAGGCTCTTGTTTCAGGTTGCGGAGAGGTGCCAACCTTCTATTATATTCTTTGATGAGATAGATGGATTAGCACCTTGCCGCACAAGGCAGCAGGATCAGACACACAATTCAGTTGTGTCAACATTGCTTGCTCTATTGGATGGTTTAAAGTCCAGAGGTTCAGTAGTGGTAATTGGGGCAACTAATCGTCCAGATGCTGTTGATCCAGCTCTAAGGAGGCCAGGGAGATTTGACCGGGAGATCTATTTTCCACTGCCATCATTGGAGGATAGATCTGCTATACTTGCACTACATACCCGAAGGTGGCCAAAACCAGTGACTGGATCTTTGCTCAAGTGGGTTGCAAGACAAACGCCAGGGTTTGCTGGTGCAGATTTGCAAGCGCTTTGTACTCAAGCTGCTGTTATTGCTTTGAAGAGGAATTTCCCTCTGCAAGAAATTCTGTCTGCTGCTGAAGCAAAACCTTTTAATGCAAGCCATGTTCCTCTTCCTGCCTTCGCAGTTGAGGAGAGGGATTGGTTGGAGGCATTGTCATGTGCCCCACCTCCATGCTCACGTAGAGAAGCAGGAATAGCTGCTCATGATATTGTTACCTCTCCTCTTCCTACTCATCTCATTCCTTGTTTCTTGCGACCATTATCAACCTTGCTTGTTTCCCTTCACCTTGATGACCACCTCTGGTTGCCACCACTACTTTCAAAAGGTGCAGCAATGGTGGAAAGTGTGATTGTTTCTGCCTTAGATGACAAGAGACTTCCTAGAGATCATTGGTGGTCCCGTGTTGATGATTTTCTTCAAGAAGCAGATGTTGCAAAGGAGATTGAGAGAAGGCTTTCAAACATTGGCATAGTAATTGGAGAGGCTAGCTTTGCCAGTTGTGATGCTTATAGTGATAATGTTACAGATGATGTTGCTAAGTTTGATCCTTCTGTAATGTTTAGGGGCAGCTTATGTGCTAACTACTTGCAAGACACATCTTTTGGTTCCAGAAAGAAAAAGGGATTTCGGATATTGATAGCTGGAAGTCCTGGGTCTGGTCAAAGGCATCTTGCTTCTTGTCTTCTTCAGTGTTTTCTTGGGAATATTGAAATACAGAAGATTGATTTAGCTACAATTTCACAAGAAGGCCATGGTGATTTGGTGCAAGGAGTAACCCAAATATTAAGTATGCTCCTCTTTTTTATCTTTTATTGTGGCCAGCAAGTTGCATGCAATGTATGGTAAATACATGTGTCTGTTCATGCACCATGTGCCTTTTTTTTCCCCAGGTCTTTTTGCTGTCGTTGACTTAGGACATTAATAAGTTGTTTTGTTCTTTGTGGCTTAGGAGTAGTTCCCATTTTTTTGTAGCTCAATTCTGTAGTCCTCAGCTATTCTGGTCTTACAATGCAGATAATTATTTTACTAAGTAATCTTAGCACTTTTGAGCTTGAGCACAATGTAGCACATTTTTAGTAGACAACTAAATCAATGTTGACTGCATGAGTGTTTTGATCTAGTACTAGTTCCTTTACAAAATCCTCACATCTTATTTAATACCTTGGCAGTGAGATGTGCTAGTGTGGGGTCATGTGTGATATTTATGCCAAGAGTTGATTTATGGGCTTTGGAGAAGCATCAACTTGCTGAGAGTGATTCATCTTCAACAGATGATCAACATGCCATGATGGAAGATTCTGTGCCTGTTGAAAATGAATATGAGTTAGCTGAGTCAACAGGATGTGGAGGTGCAGTTCAAAGTGCCTCATGTGCCCCAAGCTCATTTGTTAAGCGGATGAATCAAGTTACTGGGGAGAGTGGTTCTCCAACAGACCATTTGCCTGTTGAAGAAAATGAGTCTTCCTTGCAGCATTTAGATTTTGAGGAAGCAAAGCCACAACTTGTTGCTCAAAGTGCTTCACATGCTTGGAGCTCATTTGCTGAGCAAGTGGAGTCTATATGTGTGTCTACATCTTTGATGATTCTGGTAGGAATGATTTCTGTTTTCCGTTATCTTTTAAACATCTAAGAGATTATGTTATTGTTTGAAAATTTATTTTGAAGCTCAAAATGACAGTACTCTGGTTGAATGGGTGTCCTTGGCTGATCTAATTAGGGTTTGTATATTCATTCCCTACCCCCACCCCCACCCCTTTTTCCCCAACAAAGTTAGCAAGGGACTGAGAAAACTGTTCTGCATTTTTTTTTCTTTTTTTTTTGGTCAAAACTGCAGTCTGGCTACGCTAGATGGGAAAGAATTAGCCTCCATTTTTTTTTTTTTTTTGCACTTTGGATTAGATCTAAGTACTTGGATTGTTGACTCTCTATGGAAGTAGTGCTGTATTAATTGACTGGTTGACCTCTTTCTATTTCTGATTAGGAACTTCTATTTCAGAACCCTTGAGGGAGTTTGAGAGGGGAGCTTAGGTGTGATCCCAAATTCATCTTTTGTGTGCATGACATAAATTAAACATCTGTCAATTTTCATGTCTTATTGACATAAAATACATCATTCTAATACAGTTTTTTGATTGAAGCAATTACTTGAAACATGAAGCTCGAAAACTTTTAAACTTATTACTGATTCTTAAAGTAGTGCTTTAGTCTGTTGTCTTTGCTGAATGATAAGACAGTCAATATTGAAACAGGAGTTGATTTAAATGTTCTGTTCCCTTGCTGCCATCAGTTATGTCTCTGTTTTTAGGTGATTGTTTTAATTTGTAATGCTTGTTTGCTAACAGGCTACTTCAGAAGTTCCTTATCTCACACTCCCTGATCGAATAAAGCAGTTCTTTAAGAGTGATTCAAATTTTGCTCAAAAAACTGTGTCAGAGTACACAGTACCCAGATTCTCTGTGCATCTTGGTGAGAATATCAACCATGATATGGTGATCAAGCAATCTGCTGCTGAGTTATCCAGGGACTTAATTCAACTATTTATTCATTTGATCCATGAAAGGTCTCATGTTAGAGCAGATCTGACAACTAATGATTTTATTCAAGGCTATTCAGCTAAATTACCTGACAATGTAAATAACACTTCAACCAATGAAGTTGGGGTTGCGTCACAATCTTGTGGTAATTTGTCTACAGAGGCGCCTCCACCACCTCCCAGCAATAGAATCTTGAAAGTGAAATCAAGCTTGATGGTTGCAATATCTACATTTGGCTATCAAATTCTCAGATATCCACATTTTGCTGAGCTTTGTTGGATTACATCCAAACTGAAAGAAGGTCCTTGCACAGATGTAAGGGGACCATGGAAGGGCTGGCCATTCAATACTTGTATCATTCGTCCTGCTACACCCTTAGATGAAGCTGCAGTTCCTTGTGGTGCCAGCAATGTAAAAAGCAAAGAGAAATGTCATTTGGTCAGGGGTCTGGTTGCTGTTGGTTTATCAGCTTACAGAGGTGAGTATTCAACTCTTAGAGAAGTCTCCTTTGAGGTGCGGAAGGTTCTTGAGCTCCTAGTTGGGTGGATCAATTCAAAAGTTAATGCTGGCAAAGACAGATATCAGTATATCCGTATTTTATCTCAAGTTGCTTATCTGGACGATATGGTAAATAATTGGGCATATGCACTGCAAAGGTACTGTTAGCTTCATTGCTTTTTTGCTTGTTAATTCTTTATATAATGTGGACTGTCATCTAACAGCAGTTCCTGCAATTTCAGTTTAGATCATGATGTTCAAATGAAAACTGCAAATCCCAAACCAAGCATCTTGGGATCTCCAGATAATTGTCTGGCATGTGCTATTAAACCGGATCAAATTGAGGATTGCAAGCCAGATGTTTTAAACAAAAGCTGTCCTGCATCACAAGAGCTATGTTCAAGTCCAGTGGAAGTCCCTGATCAAAACATTGTTTGTCCAGACTTGAATAAAGGAGATGGTGATGTTGCTACTAGTCCTGAGGGAAGAGATGTGCCTTTAAAAGAAGCTTCAGAGCAAGTTGGCGTCCCTGAGACTCCTGCATCACAAGATCTATGCTCAAATCCAGTGGAAGTCCCTGCTCAAAATATTGATTATCTAGACTTGAATAAAGCAGATGGTGATGTTAGTCCAAGCCCTGGGGAAAGAGATGTACCTTTAGAAGAAGCTTCACAGCAAGTTGACATTCGTGGTACTAGCAGTACAGAGGAACATTTTGACTGCTCTGTTATAGCAAATCCTTCAATCAATCATGTTGAAATGCAAAACAGCTCAACTCCGGTATCATTTGTGTCTAAAACTCCTGGAAACCTTACAGTTGTTGATGAAGGTCCTGGGTCCTTGCAGCAGTCTGATGAAATTGCACCCAGAGAATCCATCAAAATTTCAGAGAATGGTTTCCCAAATTCAGATGAACTACGCAGTATGAAGCTTTCTGTCCCTGGGGAAGGCTGTGGCCAGTTTAACGGCTCTGTGGGTCACGCCAGAATGACATCTGATGATGAGAAGCTTGATAGACAGTGTAGAGAGGATACCAACTTTTCTGCAAGCCAAACTGCCTTTTCTGGTGAATCTGGGGTTTTATGTCTGTATCATTGCTGCTCCAAATGTCTATGCACTCTCCTAAGTGTGATGCAGAAAATCCTTGTTCAAGATTGGAAACTGGATAGGAGCGATTGCACGGTGGACTATATTCATGATACTGTTGCATCACTGTCTGCGGATCTACTTTCAGTAGTTAGTAAAGTTTATAATGCTGAAAGCAGCAGCAACAAATTTGGTGAGAGCCAAAGACATGGAAATAATGGAGAGCTGAGAACATGCCATTGCAGAAGTACAGGAAATAGTTTAGTTATGCCAAGAGAATGTAGTTGTCACCCTATAGATGGATGCATGATGGATTCAGAAAATCAATTCGGGTTTGATCCAAAATTTATTTTCAGGGATGGAGTAATGGTTCCTCTAGATTCTAACACAGACATTTCTTTTCATTGTAAATTCGAGACTTTGTGCCTTTGTTCTCTTATAGAGTCAATATTAATGACGAAGCAGCCTTTTGATTGAGCTGATATTTTACAGCCTGACTTGTTTAGCCGTGGCAATTTTTGGTGCTGCTGTCGCGGGAAATCTAGGTTTGTCTTTCTTTACACACAAGAAAAATGAAATTTTGTTGTCTTTTACTTCAAAGCTGTATCATTTCTTAAGCGCCTTATTTCCACCTCTTTTTCTTGGAATTGCGTCCATGCTTCACTTGACTCTTACTGAGAAGAAGCTAACCTATTCCGATGTAAGTATTTCTAATGTTAGTTACATATTCAGTTATGCCTTGCTGATCTTTATAATCATTCTGCTCGTTGTTATATTTTTTATGGCATTTAAATATGTTGTTTTCAGTACGAATAATTGCATCATTGAATGGGGAAGATCATGAATTTCATTCTTTAGTTGCTGTTCTTCATTTTGATGAAAGTTAGCATGCTCCAGGTTACATGTACAATACAAGGCAGCCTGTTGAATATAAATGAGTCTGAAATGGTTGCAATGGTTTCGGCAGCATTCTGTTATCTTCTTAGGATACTTCAATAATGAATGTAAGCCATTGTTGCATAACACCACAGCAAAGTACTTACCAGGGAAAATTATGAACTCTGATTGTGCTACATTTTTCTTGTTTATTGATGATATCCAGAGGATATGCATGGCATGATTAGCTTGCATAATAGAATTAATCTGCATAAAGCGATTTACTTTTTCATTGGTTGTTCACTTGACAGAGCTCGTGCATGCTTTGAATGAACCTGTCAATGTACCCATCCATGAATCCTGTGCTGCATAACATATCCCTACATTTCATGTGATTCTCCCTCAAGGATTTACCTTTCTCGCTGTTCTTTTCCATGACAGCCAGGATGCTTCTGCTCAAGCTCTCCTTGGAGAACCACCCATTCTCCTCCTTCTCCACCTCCACCGCCACCTTCAGGTCCTCGACAAGCAGCCGGGTGTTCAAGATCTGGTCACCCAGTTGCGGAACCAGCACTATTTGGCAGTCACTCATCAAAGCCTCCCACATCGAGCCAAACCCACAATGGCTCACAAAACACCCAACGGATGGGTGAGCCAGTATCATTGGCTGCTGCACCCATCCACCCCAAACCACTCCTCTTCCCTTAACCCTCTCTTCAAACACCTCTGGCAATGCCTCTTCAATCGTTGACGCCCCGATCGGTGGCTTCACGGCCACCAGAAAAGGCAGACCTGTTAACTCAAACCCCAGTAGGAGTTCTTGAAACTGGTTCTTTTCAAGGATGAATTGGCTCCCGAATGCACAGAAAACCACTGACCCTGGCTCAAATCCTGCAAACCACTTAGACCAGCGGTCTTCTAATGGCGTCTTGGCTGGCTCCGGCAGCACCGGTCCGGTTAATATAACGGGTTTTTCGTATTGACTTCCTATGTAGTTACAGAATTTCTCTTCAATCTCAAGACATGTCCTTATTGATATAGCGTCGCAGTTCTTCATTGCCGTCGTGATTCTGTCGTAGAACGTTATTCCTTCTCCATAAGGTAGGGATACAAACAGCAGAGACGGTGCTTCGTGGCGGCGCAACGCCACAACCGATGACGGGTAGCCGGGTGGTGGCACTGCCACCTGTACCATAAAAATAATTAAAATAAGAATTTCAGATATTGAAAATAATAATAATAAAAGACTAGGACTCAAATGCAGTTTTTTTAAAGCCATTTTTGTGAGAGAGAAGCTCAAATTATTGTGCATATGTAAGTTTTTAGTATTGTTTTACTTATTAATAATAGAATTATAAGTTTAGAGTTTAATTTTAATATTTAGATATTAAAAAAAATGTTAGTCATTTTTGTTTTTTTTAATTATTTTTTAATTTGGTTTCAGAAATTAAAAGATCAAAATTGATGACAAATCAAAATTAAAATTTAAGATTTATTGAAACCAAAATTATATTTAGCGTAGCAAAATTTGTTTGTCTTATTAGAAACAGCAGTGATAGCAAATAAAACACATCAAATTCTGTAATACCAAACAATTAATTTTTAATATTAAAATGAAAAAAGAAAAGATATCTTAATATTAAAAAGATTAAGATACTTAATAATAACTATATAATACTTAAACGTATTTATAAAAAAGGCTCATGAAAATCTCAACTGAATATTGGGAAAATTAACAATTTTATAATTAAAATACCCTGCACAAAGCCACGTGCCGTTGGGAAAAAACAAAAGTACAAAACTAACCACGTACCTCTTCCTCCGTCACCGGTTTGTCCTTTCTGATGTTCCGCGCCGGAACCAGCACGATGGCAATGGCCGCCGCACACACCACATTGTAACATATGGTTTTGATCCCAAGCTGTCGCGTAATCTCTGGCACCCAATGCGCTGAATCGTACATAACCAGCTTAGGTCTGGTGGCATGGATTACACCTTCTACTTGACCTCTAGTTCTGTCCATGGCAACGGCGAGAAGGCCACTCAAAGAAAGGGGAACGTCGGAGGCAGTCTCGGCACTAGCAGGAAGGCCATCGACGGAAGGGACGGTGAGGGGATGGAGGGTGATCAAATCAGGGTGCAAATTCAAGCTCTCCAGCTGTTTGACTGCCTTCTTGGGGAGAATCAAGGTGATTTCATAACCCTTTCCGGCGAGCTTGTTGGCAAGGTGGAGGAACGGTGTCATGTGGCCGACGGCGAACCATGGGAACATAACAATGTGAAAATCTGAGTTTTTTGATCGAGTCATTTCTGCTGTTTTTCTTGAGTTCTGATAGGGTTTTTGGTTAGGACTTAGGAAGAATTAGTATAGCTAACAGACTGCATGAATTTCGATGAAGGATGGAGATTTTGGACCTAAAAACAAGGATATGTGGTTATATATTTATTTCTGTTGGGAAAGATATGTTTCTTCCTTGTCACACCAAAAAACACATATGATTGTTGGAAAAGATATATGTGGTTAATATGAGAATAAGATTAGAGATTCCCATTGCTACTAAGTTTTGAGAAAAATGAGTTCTCTCCGCTTCCGTCGTCCAAAAAAAAACCAACTATCTTTCATCTCTTTTTTTGGGCGGCAAATTTTATAGAATCTTCCTATATATGCTCTGCAACCTTAGGATTTGTGAAGTCATTCTTTCTTTAAGTTTTCTTATTTTCCTTGAATTTTTAACAAGGAACTTTATTCTCTTTATGTTTCTAATAGAGGTTTCATTGCAGTTGATTGATTTATATGATGTGTGGTGCATGTTTATTGGCCCTCCATGACCTCAAATATAAAGATACTCTTTAAGTAGATCATGGTCTTTTCGGTCAATTACTAAGATTTATATTCTTAGGGATTGCATAAGAGTTAAGGTTGTCATATAAAAATTTTATAAAATGATTAATATATCTTTTAGTTTAATATATCTTTTGACACTTATCAGTTTAACTACTAAAATATAATATAAGAATAGCTGATTTAGCTAATTTTTATATATTATATTCATGGTTGCATTTTTAAATTTGTTTACCTTTGATTTCAAATTAGGAAATAATGATTTTTAATTAGTGCATTATATAGTGTGTTAATTAATGTCCAAAAATCTTATAGTGATGGATTCAAGTGGGATTGGATACAAACACTTGTATGATCTATCTCTCCCTTCTAAAATCTTTTTGTATGAGTTGTTCAAAAAATTATGTTATGTATGCAATTCCTATTTACCTATCTATCTATCTATCTATATATATATATATAAGAAATCCAAAATCAAAAACATATGTGAATAAAAAATGTGATCTTCATTTTACAATTTGCACTACAAAATATAAACTATTAGATGAGGATAGTCCAAAATATCCATAGACTAACTCTCCATCTTATAATTTAAATTGTGTAGTTCCATACACAGCACTTTTTTAATAAAAAAAATATCTAACAATAACAATGCATTTGAAGTCTTCAAACTTGTGCACTTACTCGGGTTGAAAGAAATGAAGAGGGGGAGGATCAAATTTTTCTTTATTTAGTTATCAAAAAAATTGGAAGAGAGAGGAGGAGAAATATATATTTTTTATTTTATTTTTTCTCTTAATTTATTAACTTATTCAAATAAAGGAAGAAGAGGGGAGGAGAATGGAGGGAAACGAAAAATTAAATTTTCCTCTCCTCCATTCTCCCCAACCGGAAGTGAAGTTGAAGAGAACATTATAAAAAGCGGTGGAGCTGGGCTGAAGGGTGCATGACTGTACTAGCTAAGGTGATACCACTTTATTTATTTTTTTATCAGCAAAATGAAATTTATTGAATGGAGTACAAGGGGTACTCCTACCCACTTACAAAAATAAAAGAGAAAGTAAACCAACACACTCCCTACAAACAGATAACTAACACACCATATGTCACAAGACTAGAGAAACACCCAAAAAAAAAAAAATGACAGATTGGGCCAGTAGAAATCCCTTGCCTTAATGCCCATAGCAACCCTTTCAAACTTCATGTTACCATCTCCAGCAAGTCTTTCAATAGCATAGACGTAGCACCCTGAACTTGAGCTCTATCCTCATAAGTCCCCCTGGTTCAGCACTTGATACATCCTCTTATAATTCCTTAGATTCCTACCATGTTGAACAATGGCCTTCTTGCACTCCAATGGTCGTAAAATCCAATTTGTATAGGAAAAACTGCAGCCTTGTTCCTTGTTTTTCAGCCAGAAAAAAGATTTAGATTGAATAGAATCCAATATCTGCTCTTCGAACCTTTCACCTGCCCCAAACACTTTCAAATTTCTCCAAAACCAAACATACCAAGCAGTAACCAAAAAAATAAGAGGCCCTAAATCTGTCCAACTCCACCCATTGATTCCAGCCACCACAACATCTGCCAATCCAAAGACATCTTTTGGCAAAGAACTCTGTACACCCCACCAACCCAAAACCTTCATCCACACCAACCAAACTGGTTTACAATCACAAAAGATATGTTGGAGTTGCTCAACGCCCTCATGGCAAAGCCCACAACAAACATTCCCCCCTGATAGAGCAACCCCTCTCCGACACAAGTTATCCTTTGTAGCTAACTTGTTCAAAAATAATCTCCACCCAAAAACACTCAATTTGGAAGGTACATAACTACCCCAAATGACCCTAGACCATTTCTCATCCAAAACACAACATTTCGATGATAAAAAATCATAAGCCTTCTTTGCCGAGTATACACCATCACCACTATGGATCCATCTCCAAGAATCAGCTTCTCCCTTATGTAACCTGACCCTATTAATTAACTTCCTAAACTGTTCTTCCTCCCCCACTCCCCTCCCTACACAACCTCTCCTCCACCTACAATCCCATATCCAATTTTCAGCACTCCAATACCCCATATCCTTTAATTGTCCCTCCCTACTATTAGCTAATGCATACAACCGAGGAAATAAATTCCTCAATGGTTTATCCCCCACCCATTTATCATGCCAAAAATCTACACAACTCCCATTCCCAACATTCCACTTAAAACCTTTTCCTAACATTGCCACCAACCTTTCTGACCCTCTGCCTAGACCCATAATGTCCTTCCACACACCGGACATATTCCAATTCACCACTGACGTAACATCAGCCTCCTTTCTACCCCCATAATATTTCTCCCAAAGAACCCGCTTCCATAAACCATCAACACCATCACCTAGCCTATACCACAATTTTCCCAACAAATTGCAGTTTCTCCTCTCCAAATCAGCCACTCCTAAGCCTCTTCTCCCCTTATCCACACACATGTACTCCCAACTAACCCATGAAATTTTCTTATCCAAATTAACACCCCCCAAAAAAAAAACTTCTTTGAATTTTAATCATCTCACGAAGTACACATTTAGAAATCTTAAATAACGATAAATAAAATATAGGAAGACTTTATGAAGTGTATAAATTATAAAATGAGGCAATGATAATTTCATGTGTCATTAAAAAGTGGAATTGCATACGTACAAAATCATGAAGACTTAATAATGAGATTTAGACCTATTTACTTACTTTCTGCCTCTGTTCATGGATTTTTTTAGAACTATGTGATGAGGAACAATATCTTATTCCTTTAATCTCCTTTCACTCAATTTAAAATTTGAATTTAAAATCTCTAATTTAAAATCTAAAGTTTTTAATTACTTGAAACATCCCTTTAGTGTGGATAGTCACGTTGTCCTTATTGATTACAAGCCTTTTAAATTAGTAATTGTTTTATTCTATTCAATTCAAAACAATAGTTGTTTTTTTTATTATTTTCACCTATAAAGAATTTAGAGACAATTTTTTTTTGAACTGAAAAGGGGCAAAAGAATTTATTAATATTGAGTGCAAGGGGTACTCAACCCATACACTAACCGTATATTGTGAGGGTATAGCAAAAACAAAATGCTCTTATTTCTTGCAGCAAAACTTGGGGTTAAATAAGCAAAACTTGGGGTTAAATAACCAATCTGAAAGATAAGAATGGAAGCTTTCACTCCTATTCTTATGCCAACAAAAAGATCGAACTTAAATAAGGTCAACCATCTCGTCTGTGTTGACTTCATTGTTACATAACCTTTTAGTTCTAGTTAACCAGACTGTTCACACTAATGCAAACCATATGACTTCCCAACCCGTTTTCATGCTGTTTGAGAATGCCAAACTTGCATGTTGAATGAAAGTGTCTTAGCAAGTTTTTGCACATACAGTGTTTAACTGTCACCAATTGTAGCATTTATTCCATATTTTTACCACTGTTTTACGTACATTTAGGAACAAATGACCTCTATCCTCAAGCTGTTCTTGGCATAGGCAACGAGGAAGCTCATCTGCACTCTTAAGAATACCTCTTTTGCACAGGGTAGATTTGGTAGGTAATCTGCCTAGAAGCAGCAGCCTTACGAATACACAGACCTTGAAGGGTATGGTCACATTCCATACTCTATTGAACACATAACAGTGCGTAAAATCCTATGATGATAACTACATATAACTTGAACTTGATGAGCAATGACCATTCTTGCTATATTTCCAACGCCAACTGTTCATTTTTTTCTTTTAGAGACAATTTATATATTTATTTATAGGAATTTTCTAACATGTGCCCTAAGAGTTTTTCTAAGGGTACATGTCAAGGTGTATTAATACACTATTTTGTAATAAAGTTTTATAAAAGAATGTAAACATAAAACATTATTTTTAATATCAATATCACTTGAACAATTTTAATTGAATAGTTGATAAATTTAACATCAATTTTTATTTTTTTAATAAAAATTAATTATAAAAAGATGCAATTAATGCATCCATAATATATGCTCTTAAAATATAGGTTAAATAAATTCTTATTTGTATTACCTTATTTAAGAAAAAAAATAAAGATAAAGAAAAAAATTTTCTGATAAAATGAATAATTAAAGTTGAAAATAATTATTGAGTTAATGTAGAAAAAAAAAAAGGTCTTCCCTAAAAATTGAAAATTGACAATTAATTTATATTACTAGTGCAATAAATTTTGAATGAAGAAACTTATAATTATTTTGAGATAGAGAGTGTACTTTCTAATTATGTATGTCATTTAAAACTCTATTTCTTATTTTATAGTGTTAATACTTTGCATCATATTAAATATATATTTTATTTTTATTAGTGGAGCATTAGAGTTTTAATTTTAAAAACACCGTTCTTCAATGAATATTTTCAAAAACTAATCATTAAATTTAGTTTTTTAATTATACATGTAGACTATATATGTAGACTATATATGTCAATTTTTAAGTTAATCTAACGACTATAACCATTTGATCAAGAAACTTGTATTTTTAACATATACTTAATAATAAATAATTTTTTATAATCAATAAACTAATTATATATTTTTTCAATCAATTTGAGAATTAACATGCATAATTTATATTCTTAGAAAACTAAATCTAGTAGTGATTTTTGAAAATATTTATTTTAGAGTAGTGTTTTTGAAATTAGGACTCTAATTTTTTTTATGAACTTGTTCTCGTATCATCACTGATTCTTTTCCACAACTCTCTGTGCCAAGGAAACTTGAAGGAAACAAATTCAAGCAAAATTCATACTCTTGCTTTTAAGTTTTAAATTTCCACGTTTCATTGGCTTTTAGATTTTCTATTCTTGTAACGTTTCACTTTCACATCAAAAGAAGAAAATATGATTGTCAGTATTAATTATATAGGTGTAAAAATTAATAATTATGAATAACTTAAATTTAAGTTTTTGAGAGTTTATGAATTTAAATTAAAGAGTTGTCAAATCAGTATTGAGTTTTAGCTCAAATTTGTTCTATTTAGTATCAAAAGTAATTGCCCTCACAAGTGTCTGTTCATATCTAAAAAACTTAATTAATACTGGCATTGGAGGACCCTAATTATTGTGATAAGGTAATGTAGTTCGAAATTAATGTTAAGGGTTTTTTGCGATGTTACGATGGTAAAATTACTCACAAAAATTAACATTTTTAGTCACAATTTATATTTGTATTTAAAATTTGATTAGTAACTATTCGTCACAAATATTAAGTCACTAAAATTAAGGTGCCTTAGAATACAAATTAAAGGTACAATAAATATTTTTTTTGTAATTAAATATTTATTAAAAATGTAAATGTTGAGTTCAGTTTAATTAATTAATCAATTAAAATCATTCACATATCAATAGTATTAAAATATATATTAACCCTTATAAATTTTTATGTGAATTAATTATAAAATGATACATTTATTACACCATAAGTTAGACAAACCTTTAACGTAAAAGGAAAAAGTATTATTGAAGATTTTTTTTTTCTTTTTTCTGATTTGTGGTACCCCACTATTCACATGCTAGGTGGTTGGGTTTGTGATGACCCTAATTAGTGTGAAAAGGAAATGTAGTTCTAAATTAATGTAAAGGGAAAACTACGATTGGAGACGGTAGATTGAAGATGAGAAGAATAGGATCTACAAAACTGAAGGAAAAATCACTACTAAATCCATAGGAAGAGTTGTTTGGATTAACTGTTTAGATGTAACTAGTAGCTGAAATTTAATAATTAATAATAATTATTATTTATAATTTAAAATATCTAATCTATTCAATTAAAATTAACAGTTGTTTGTAATCCCAAACCAAATACTCCTCGAAAAAGATCTCATTCTAAATGAACATGTGGTAAGAGGAGGTATTAATAAACTGGAGGAGCTCGAAAAGGATCCTCAAACGGATCTCCAAAACTGCCAGTATGTCTTTTATTATCTATGGATCTCCAAAATGGAGCTCTGGCCCCATCTTTTTGGTCATGTAAACATCTTTGTCTTAATTTTATTTGTCATGTCATTAAAAGAAATAAGGAAAATACCATCTGGACTCACTTAATTTGCTTAATTGATAGAAGAGTAATAATAAAAAAAAAAAGAGACTGCTTAAAATGGTTCAAGAACCGAAGTGTTCAAAATTGGAAGTTTTGAAACTAAAATTAGCATTTAACAAAAAAAATCAACAAATATCAAATTCAACAATTGCTAGAATAGTGCTGTATTTTTTTTTTTTTTAACAGCAAAAGGTTTATTATTTTAGAGTATAAAGAGTACTCCAACCCATAAATTTTTATATCATATCTTAGTTCAAGTGGCTTTTGATAAATGAATTGCCTATACCCTTGTTTAGTTCATGTGCTACCCACTATATTTTAGACAATTCTGTGGTGTTATTAGCCAATCTGTAAATGAGCATGACCAGTTCTTGCTCTTTGCTTTCAACCATTCCCATGATCGGATTTGGATGTAGTCAAACACCCTTTGAGCATTTGGTTCCTTCCCTTTGAATACACAACTGTTTCTAGTTAGCCATAAAGACCAGACATATGCAAACCATATAATCTCCCATCCTTTTAAAAGCTTCTTGTCTTCAATTAGTCCATGATGTTGAGAGAAAGCTTCCCAGCAGGTTCATGGTCTAACTGATTGCATTCCCCACCAATTCAAGCACATGCCCCATAAGAAGTATGTAGCATGACAATGTAAGAATAAGTGACTAGAGGTCTCAACTTCCTCCTTACATAGAGAGCATGATATCATGTTGTAGCTAGTTAGGGCCTCCCTCTTGAATAACTCAAATTTAGTTGGTAATTTATTTTGGATTAATTGCCATGTCATAGCATTAACTTTACTTGGGTCAGTGGATTCCAGACCTTTTTAAAGATTTCTGCGTCAACTCCATGATTTGAGCCTTATAGTGCTGTAATTGAACTGCATTGCTTATGAGTAGCTTGTCCTAAGCTTAGCCCTAGCTCAACTCGTTTGTTAAAAAAGTCAAGTTTGAGCTTGAAATTGAATTTGATAAATTATTGAGCTCGAGCTTGAACCCAAACTTAGTGTTTGACCTCTCAAGCTACTCGTTTTATATAAAAAAATAAATAAGTTAAACATAGAATTCGAATATATAAATATTTTATAATTAACTTTATATATTAAGTTAAAATATAATTGTAGTTGCATGACCTAGCAATCCTAAATTTCTTGGTTGACAAGTAGAGCATTTTTTTTTTTTTTA